AAACAGCGAGAAAAGCATAAATGCAAAAACAAAGCAAAACATGAATGAGGTCCAAACTCTATTTGGCAGAGACAATGGTGACCAGACAAAGACAAAGCCATGCCTTGAATTCAGAGAGAGAAATGAGCTGCAGGTGTGGAGGATGGAGGCAGGTAACAAACAAAAGGCAAGCACCGCTGGGACTGAAAGTAAAAAGAGAACAACATAAGATGAGTAGGCAGGAAGTGCAGAGCAAAATAAAAGCGTGAAAAACATGTTGACAATGCAATGATAAGAGGGACACTGAGAATTAAAAAGGATGGGAAAATAAAGAACAAATAAAGAGACTTCCACATCTTGATGTTTTCAGATGGAGGAGAGCAGGAATTGAGGAGGTGAAGCAACAGTTTCTGGGTGGTTGGCACAGATCCTGCCTGTTGATGTCATGGTTTAGCTCTGCTTCATGTTCAGAGAGCCTTTATTTTCTTTGACTTCCTGTCCTGTGTCACCTCACCTGCCCCCGCTTTACCTCAGTACTCTATCACCGTTCATTGTTTTCACCTGTTCCACATTATCTCCTGGTCTACAGCCCATAAATACCTCCCTTTTTCCCTTCATTCTCTTGCTGGTCCATTGTTGATGCTAGTATATTGAGAGCAATGCTCATTCTGATCTCTGTTCACGAGGCTCACCACACCCTGCTTTTGTCCTGTTCTTTGGCACTGATGACACTTCTGCCTTCATCTCCTCACTTGTTTTTCATTCCACTCACCTGTTCCTCGCCTGGTATATTTGTTTCCAGCGATGCTGTAGCCTTCCTTGCCTCTGTCTCCTTACCTTAATGCTGATGTGTCTTCTGTCCCACACTACCTGCGGTGTGTTCCTGATCAGCCAGAGACTCTGTCGACTCCCTTGACCCTGTATACTCACCTGTGTGCTCCTGAATCCCCCGCAACGCTGGGGGGAAGTCTCCTGTCCTGCACTACCTCCTGTATGATCCTGGCCCCACGACTTCTCAGTTCGCTCCCAGCTGCGTGACTCACCTGGGTGTTCCTGGTTTGCCAGTTCACCCAGTTTGCTCCTGTCTGTTTAGCTCCCCTGAAGGCTCCTGGCACCACAGTGATATTCCAGTTTCTTTCTGTCAGACTTTCTAGCTCTTACTGAGTCCTGGTCTGCATTTTGGGTCCTAGCCCTGTGTGAGCATCACAACAGTTGATTGATCTCGAGGCGACAGCCGGTCTCAGGGGCCATTGGCCAGGCTGACATTCCCCTCTGTGCTCCCCCTCCTCTCTCACCTTCACTCTGTTGCTCTCTCTTTCTTCCTCACTGCTTTTTAAGCTCTCCACTGTGCCAACTGATCCTGCACCTTATTCTCTCGCTGCTGATTTAACTTCCAGCTCGCTCACTCCTTCTTCCTCATCATCATTCTGCTCCTTCTCACTTTTTGCACTTTCAGTAGTGACAGTTGGTTTCTTTACTGTTCACGTCTAACCTCCCAACTCTGTGTACATTCACCCCACTGCTGGGGACCAACTGTCCTCTAATGTGCGCTGTCCATTTCACACCACCTATTTAGTATGCAAGAAGGCATTATTGCTTATATGGAGGGATTTAGTCTGTTTGCGTACGACTGTGTGTGTTTGAATTTGAGTGTGATTCAGTGTCTGTGTCCCGAAAGCCCTCGAATGCAACACATTAGTTTTCTTGAGAGAGCCTGGGGGTATTTTGGTGACCTTGGTCTTCGGTGAGTATGTGCCTGTGTTGCTCAATTATTGGGATTTCATTTCTCTGTGCGTGGGAGTGCACATGCCCTTTCCAGCATGTACTTGTGCCTGTGCTCACATGCATATTCCTATGCATGCATGCATACATACATACAGGCGCCCTGGAGGGGCACGCTTAATGATAGGCTTGTTTACACAGCTCTGCCTCTAATGATCTATTAAAGTACACTTAACCAGTAATTATATGGCCAGTCCCATAAGGCTTACGAGGCCCCACAGGGGATAGCTAGAAGTACAAGAAGGCTAAAGAAAAGCCTATGTATTTAATGGAGTGCACAGGAATCAGTATTTTCTTGAAGTTGATTATTAAAAAAGAAATTCATAAACAGTATAATATTAGATTTTTCACCTCTTATTGACACGTAGGTGGTTTAAAAGCAAAAATAATTTCTCACACTTTGCTTTGCAAGAACAAGTAATACCTCTTACCTTCTCATCTTCATCTTATCTTAACTGTACTACACATTTAGTTCCAGAGCTGCAAATAAATTGTCCATATTTAAAAGTAAGGCACAAAATCAAGAGAGCCAGGCTATCAGTTTTACCCAACGATGTGTTTTAAATTCCGTTATAAAAACGGGCCTCTTCTCTAACAAGGCCATTAAACCATTATCCTTGTCATTAACAGAATTGTCTCATGAAGTTCAAGAGCTCCTGGCAGCTCCTCAGATTTCAATGCCTCATTTTCTAATCAGGCAATACATATTCTATTTAAATGTCTTTCTATGGTTCTTTTTCTGCCTCACACCAGGATAAACTTTGTATTAAATCTCTTTGCAGTGTGTTTCATCCTTAAAACATTGTTTTCACACACGTCTTTATGACAGAACCTGGCACTCACACTTATAAACAGCGTCTGTATTTCAGCCCCATGATAGTTTTGCAATAATAACTGTGGCAGCTGTGGCTCAGGATGTAGAGCGTTTGTCCCACTAGTGGAAGGTCAGCAGTTTGATTCCCTGGGCAAGACAATAAACCCCAAGTTGCTACCCAGAGCAGCGCCTTGCAGGGACAGTGCCACATATGGCTGTACCTGAGACAAATTCCTCGTGTGTTACATACTTGGCCAATAAAAGTGATTATCAGCATAATCTAGATATTTCTATTCATCCACAGCTTTAGTACTGTCCCCATTAACAGCTAGTTGTTGGCACCCTGCTCTTCTCGTTCTAAGATAAAAGATCATTTCCTTGGCTTTCTTAATATTAAGATGCAAAGAACTGGCCTGACACCAGTCACCAAACTTAAAACCATCATCTTGAAATCAGTAGGTAGCGAAATTTGTTGTGACTATAGGAGGGAAACATCAGCAGCTGCTGGAGTTGGTGCAGCTGCAGTGACCAGTCAGATGTTCTCCCTTTGTCCTGTTTGAAGGCAGCAGATAGTTTTCTAATAGATGAGTGAGAGACTCAAGGACAGTTTTGTTTGTTTGCTTTTATAGGAGATGTCAAGCACAAATATACATCCGTAGGCCATTCAAAAGTGCACAGGGCTTTCAGTTATATCACACACATCATTCGTATCAAGATTCTGTGCTGCTGTCCAGGATGAATATGGTTCAACTTCCAAACCCTGCCTTTCACCTTTCCTGTGATATGCCAGTCATCTTGCACCCTTCTCTACATGTCCCTGGAATTGTGTGTAACAGAGTTCATCAAAGCAGCTTGTGTTTAACATGCAACAGAAGCACCCTGGTGTACGCCAGCACAGAGTAACTAAACATTAGGGATATCCAGGTTTCTGGGAGATTGGCACTGGGATAATGGGCCTCCCACTCAAAGTCAGTATCTTCTACTCCCTCCTGTCCTGCTCTGCTCCGGGTCTGTATCAGTGCAGTCACCCACTGGGGTCTTCACAGGGGAGTGACTCATGCTCGGTCTCCTCTTAGCCTAAGAGCTTTTTCCATCTACCTCCTTATCAGTTATTTAATTCACTGACCTATTCACTCTTTCTGTCTGAGCGTCCATTATCTGATTTGCCTAATCCCCTCTCATCCTTTTTCCCCTTGCAGATGAAAAAGGCCATTTTTCTGTTTTCCATTTTTTGGCTGTGACATAGCCTTGCTTTTGTAAGCTGTGATATCTCCAGGAGCCAGTCACAATTTCCCTTTGGCTGGCTAAAATACAGCCTTTTTGCAATAAGGTGTTGATCTAATCCTGACAGTTCATCCACTACCACACATGAGGGGGGTTTCTGTTTTTTTTTTTTTTTTGTCTTCTTCATTGTTTTCTATCTACATTTGGTTGTTCACATTTAGCATCATACACATCAAAATTCTTACTTCCCAATAAATTGTCCATGCTAGCCCACACTATATAAACAGTTCCCATTTGTTCTTGATGTGTTCTCTGCTGTGTCCGGTGGCCTTACATCAGCCAACTGTAACTCGCTGCTTCTTCCCTCCCACACTATGCCTTTTTTATTTTCAACCTCACTCTCCCTTCTGCCACCGCTCCCCTTATCCCTGGCCGTGGTGACAGACGAACAGATAGGTAGACTGGCCTTGGTCTGGCTGTTGTAAGCTAGATGGCATGACGGCCTGCCAGGTGAAGGCTGCCACCTCCGGGGGTACCAGGTTCTGACACCTCTATTAACCTTCAGGAGATGTCCATCCCCCATTACACCTCTGCCTTGTCTCTTTTCTCTATCTCTGCGTATCCCCCGTCTGCTGGTTGCCAGCTGGAGGAAAACCAGCTTGTCCCTAGAGCTAAAAGCCAAATAAATACCTGTATTTTCTTCTCGTCCTAACCTGGAGCATTTCAATATATCATGGATTTCTACAGTATCTCACTTTCTCAATTATCTATCAGCCTCACTGTCCTTGCATGTTTCTTCTGCCTTCAGTCTGTCTCAGCCTCTTTGTGTCTGTCTCTCTCTCTAATTCTAGCCCCCTAGCATTGCCACACAGTTTTCACACAGTGACCTGTATGTCAGAAAATGAAAATGGCCAGTGCAAAATGCATGATTTTGTGCATTGAGGCGGCGCTGACTGGTGAGAATGAATACATTTCTGCAACTTTCTCACGTCAATCACCCGGAATAATGGAAGTTAATGAAAACTAAGTGACAGACATAAATGTGTTTGATTGCCCGTTTTGCCATGATGATTATTATATCATTTAGTGTTATTTAAATTAGATTATGGGAGATAATGGCAGGCTATGACAGCTCCCATCTGAATCAGCTATGTTTGCCCAGTAATCTTTTTGTCTTTCTGCTTCTCGTTTTGTCCTACAGGAATTCTCTTTACTACGACTAGATGATGTGGCAGACCAACGAGTCAACATAGTCGGCTTTTCAGTCTTCAACAAAACTCATCCCTTCTTCCAGGATTTTGTGCTAAGCCTCAACCGCTCCTGGCAAGAGAACTGTGACCACGCACCCTTCGCCGGCACCCCAGTTAGTGCAAACGATACACATATGATCTCACAAACACAGCAAAGACCATGGTTCCCTTTGTAGGAATAATGGATGATCCCTCTTTATTTGTTTCCAAACAGTACCTTAGGCATCACACTGCTGGAGCTCAAGCTCATCAACTAAAACAGTGAAGTCACTTAGACGCAAAAATGCCAGTGAAATATACCAGGATGACATTTATCCATTTAACTGCTGTAATTGCAGGTGTTGCTGTAGGCAGTTGTTTCCCAGGCAGCTCATTAGCAACGTTTGCCACCCTCCTTAGTACATTTAAAATGGCATCTTCCTTGTTAAACTTGTTTCAGAGGAAATGCAGAGCTTACTGTCACAGCATCCCCCATTTAAATCACCCGCTGTTTTCATCTAAATGGTGTCTGTAGCTCAACAATTTACACACTGTGTTCTGCAAATTTGAAGGAGTGACTTCAAAATGGCATTCCACATTTGAGCCAACCATACTAGACAAAAATATTTTGCCCCATGCAGAAATATTTTGTATTCTTAGCACAACCCTCATACCTATTTTATGAGAGAGGCTTATGTGAGTTTTCTATATCAGATTCAGCAAATAGAATGTTAAATGACCTGCATAAACGTGATGGGTACCACCTGTTTGTAAATAAATAACAGGGCTTATCTGACACTCCAATTGTCAGTCTCAAGGCTGAACATTCTCACCGATTTCTCTAGAAGTGTCCAAACTTTTGACTGGTAGTGAATGATCAGCTCATAAACTGGGCTTCAAGCAAAGGGTTTTCACAAGCTTGGCCCATACAGGCAGACGTTCTCCTGTTCAGAAATTAGACTAAAGGTCCAGACTTGCTCTGAGTCATATAATATTAACTTGCTGATCCTAGCTCCTCTGCTGTATATATTTAAGAGCAAGTGAGAAAAAAAGAGAGCTATAAAGAGGGACAGAGTGAAGTTAAGATGAGTAAATGCCACGGCGTTGTTCACTTCAAATCGCAGATATGAATAGGTATAAGTGGAATATAATCAGAAATACTGCTGTGACATGGTAGGTAGGTAGGTACTTTATTGATCCCACAGTGGGGAAATTTCTGTTACAGCAGCAATAGAGAACAACCAATATAACACCATAAGAACAGACACATAAGAACAGAACTTCATAGAAACACGGGACACAGCTGCTGTAACTTGCTGCCATTCCGCGCGGCGCATGTGTATGTAAGTACAGTACGTAGTAACAAAGAACACTTAGTCTTAAAATAAAAAGTTACATAAAGGCAACAAAGCATTAGGACCGATGCACACAAGTAGCATCATCAGAACATTACATTTTACACAGCACAAATAAGCAAATCAAAGGCACCTAAAAACAGGGCAGAGAATCAGGAAGGACATTAAAACCTAAAGACATTTTGTCTTTCATATTTTAATGCTCATTTCACAGTTGGACTTGAACCTTTCCCACCACCAAGACATGTAAACTGCATTGACTTGTGGTTGCAGTGTCTTCATGGGCTGTGTTTGTACACCATATTGCTCTGAATATGCAATCTGCTAATTATTATAGAGAAATCAAGGTTGTAATACATCACAGTTTTGCAATTTAATGGCCTATTGTCCTCTGTGGTCTCCAAAACGTGCTCTACATTGCAGACCCTCTGAGGCCTCTATCAATATCCTCTAAACATCAGGTCCATTTCATCTCTAGCGCCATTACGCAGATGTACAGCAGTGCAGGGGATCATGCATTTTAATCAAATGTACATAGCAGGATGCAGTGGTAGTGACGATGAGGCTGTTTGTACAGGGGAGATGAGAGGAAAATCTGCCTCTCCCACTGTTTTCTGGCCCTCGCTGACAGAGGCAGACGGTAATTGGAATGGTCAGGGTGTGCCAGCTTTCCTGGGGATAAGAATAGGAAGGACAGTCTCTCTGAGAGAGAGAGAGAGAGGTGGTTCTCTCCATTGTCAGCAGGTCAGACTCTTTCTAATGATCTAATGGAATTATGTCACTGTCACTCAAGAGATGGGTTAACCCCTTGCTGACCGCTCACCACTGACACGTTATACTAGCAATCTGTGTGCTTTGAGTTTTTGCAACTTTTTGTGTATGTTTTTAGTACACTGTGTGGACCAGTTATTTTTTTCTGATGCCAGGGCTGTGAGGACATTTTGGCCAGTTCTCACAACTTCAAAGGGATTTTTGAAGGTTAAGACTTTGTTTTTAGGGTCAGGTTAGAATTAGGTTTAGGTTCAGGTTAGGCAACTAGTTGTGATGTTTAAGATTCGGGTCCTCACAAAGATAGCTGTACAAATGTGTGTGTGTGTGAGTGAAGCTTTTGAACGCACAATATATTCACCTCCGTCCCTGCCTCTCCCCTTGCAGCTCTCCTCAGCTCTGCTCTTTGCTGCAGTATACGCGGTGGTGGCAGCGGTCCAGGAGCTGATAACCGCAGTCAGAATGTTGGCGCCACTCAGCTCTCCTGCAAGTCCTCCAAGATCTGGGAGCACGGCACAAGCCTCATGAATTACTTGAGGATGGTGAGACTGCCTCTGCCTCTGTGATGGAAATTAATGATAGCACATGCCTAAAGAAATAGTTCTGACAGTTTGAGAAGTACAGTACTGTGTGGTTATTTACTTTCTTGAGTTAAGATGAGAGGCATCTTATGTAGTTTGTGATGCTCAGAAAAATGTATTTCCCATTTTATAGCAGCTTCTTTTCCAGTGATTGTCTTTGAGGAAACTGATCTTTGGGCTAGGCCGTGTCACATAACGAACGCGGAAGTTGCAGTAATGATGTTTGACCACTACACCAAAATTGCTTCACAGCTCAGTGCCAGCCCTGGGGGTTTGGTTTAATCTGTGCAAAAGAAAGTTTCTTGGCCGGGTACAGTGGCCTTCTGTTCTTACTACCTGTGCGGTTTCCAGACGACTAGCGTATACTCCAGGAAATCACTGCTCCCGGCCAGTACAGAGTTTGGTGCATAACCCTCAGAGAAACCACATTTTTAAATATCTAGGTTTTTTTTTAAACAAATGTGTTAATTAGTGAATCGTTAATAGATCCAAAGCAACTGTTTCCAATTTATATGCTAAGCAACAATCTTTCAGTTAAAATGAATAAACATATTTTCCAAAATGTTGAACTACTGTTTTTTTAAGTTTTAGATTTTTCACGCTTGTAGTGTTTCTCTCACTTGCAACAACAAGAATGGCAGAAAATAGCTTTAATTAGACAATGTCAGATAGCTAAGCTTGTTGAGCTCCTGTTATTGTTAATGCAATCCTTTCTACAGGTTAATTGGTGTTAAGAGGTTATTCTAGAGGCTAGATATTTTCACTGACAGCACATGTGTAGGTTGTGCTTTCTTTAAAGATATACTCCCTGTCCACTAAGTGAGTTTATCTCGTCTCTCCATTATAGTGAGACACAATGGATGAGGAGAGATAAAGATGAGCTGTCAGTGAATACCCTGTTTTCCTATTAGAGACAAATGGCTGTAAGTGATTGGGCTATCGAAATACTTCGGTGTGACGTGTTCGATATCAGACTGTTTTTTTTCTCTTGGAGAAACAGGACGTGACTAATGAAGCTTCTATTTTACTGTAAAATGAGGATGTTACAGCCTTGTCTACATATTACTATTCTAAATCTGACAAATTTCAAAAGGCTGAGACTGAGCCAGTAGCTCTAATGTAGCATCACGTCATACATATCTGCTTTTTTGATGAGGTCTTTTAACATGTTGCTGTATCTGTGTTGGATAGGTAGAATTGGAAGGTCTAACGGGCCACATTGAATTCAACAGCAAAGGCCAGCGATCTAACTATGCCCTGAGGATCATGCAGAACAGCAAGGATGGCCTAAGGCAGGTAAAGTAACTCCCAGTCTTATAAATCAGATGGTATTATCTGTCTTCAGACTAGTCACATGCTTGGACCACGGAACGCATCAGAGCAAGGGGGCGGCCTGATTCCAAGGCTGAGGAGCATACGCACTGAAACAGACATAAGCCTATATTACTAATGTATGAATATTGAGTAAAGTTATAGAACATTTTTAGTTTGACACCACACACCACTACAGTCTGTTTGAGTTTGAAAAATTCAAACATGGATTTCAGACTCTGTCTCTTCATTTTATTTTTATGCAGGCACATGTGGGCAGTGGTTTAGTTTAGTTGTTTACTCACGACCATGAACACCATGACAACCCCGAGAAATGAAACCACTGTGATGTGGTCGCCCCTGATGGCTGGTTGGAGGATAGGTCATAAACCCCACCTCCTCCATGTTAGTGGATGGGACATGAGCCAAAATAAAAACTCAAAGTAGAAATCAGAAAAAAGTGGGGGATGGTGATCAATAGCATGTGGCTTGTTTAAAGTTCAGGTTTTGAGAAAAAAACACAACAAAAAAATTATATCACACTCCAAAAATTACCCTGGCTGTGGCACCTCGACGGTCTATTATGGTCACATGTAGTGGATTTAGTCAACACCGTAAGCGCCTCAGTATAGCATGAAGTCCAAATGACTGATTCAAATGATTTTACATATAAATAGTGTGGCGTTTCTGAAGTGACCTACACAGATTCCTCTGTCTTCTCTTTAGATAGACACTAGCCATAATGTAACTTATTGGTGAACACAGAGGCACTCCAGCACAGTCCTGATTCCAGCAGGGCAGTACTGCAAAGCTATACTGTACAGCAGGGAGCTGCACTTGCTCAATTCATCTTTTGGTGCAGAAATGCCCCAGTATCCAACTAAAAGAAGTGTCAAGGTGTCAGAGGACCAAATTAAATATTTGAGCTGCGTCTTTGAAGGTGCATAAAAGCACACTGATGCTTGTGTGCTATGTACTGTATCTGTTGTACATGGAACCAGTGATTTTAGTGAGGCTGCCAGGGACAAGGACATCACTTCAGATCTGCCTGGCTGGGGAAGACCTGTTTGGGTAAAGTGATTACCTGATGCTCTTCCATCCATCAGCAGCATCTCCAAATGCTCCAATGGAGCTGAGCCATCACCAGTAGTAAAAAATCTGTGGTTGACCTCCCAGGTGAAAGAAAAATATATAGGTTGTGTGTGGGTAATGGATGGAAGGAAAAAAGCAGGTAAACAGCATTAAGGTAGCAGACACTTCAGATGCAGTGGCTGAGCAATATATGTTTGGATCAAGATGAATAATCTAGCTGTGGTTGTTTTTACTTGTATGGTAATAGCTGGGGAACCCTGGGTTTTAAAACATTTATAAAGGTAGTATATTTTAAAGGAACTCAAAACAGGTAAAGTTTGAATGTGTTGTGACCGATATCACAGTGTATATATCTCTATATTGACAAAGTTGGGCATAAATAAGAGCATATTAGTGAACCAAGTGATGGAGAAAATGCTAAAAATAAACTTTAAAAAAGGACAAAATGTATATAACAGTTACAGTCAGTGTTGCAGTACTCGAGTCCTGATTTTCAGGAGTCATGACTCGACTTGGACTTGAGCAGTGATGACTTGGAGTTGGACTCAAACACGAGCACCAGCTGCATTTTGACTCAGAAGTTGGAGACAAGGACTAATATAGACCTTGATTACTCCGACTCAGCAAAGGCAGACTTGACTTGGACGGGACTCTGACACAGATCTGGCAGTGGTAAGGAATATGCTGGCTGTAAAGCTGTTTTCTGAGTTTAGCCAGAAGTCCGGCCCTACAGCCTCGCTTCTGCTTCCTTTCCCTTCGCCATCTGCCAGGCCTGATAACAATCCACCGAGAGCCCTCGCTATCTTGTCCGGTATATCGTGTCTGCAGCAAAAGTTATCTGAGACCGGTAACTTGTGTAACCCCATGTCCAGCAGTTCTTGTCTACTGTAACATCAACTCGCAGAAGCATGTTTATATATGGCACATAAAAGACGCACTAAAATGCACATAAATGGAGAGCCCAGAGCCGCTGCGAACTGGCGCACCACCATCTTTCAGGCTTCTCCCAGGTAGGGGCTCAGTCATCCAACTGTCACCACTCTGCTGCAGCAGATATTGTAGCTGTATTTGTGTTTTTTATCTGCAGCATTTTAAGTAGTTTGTCACTATTGTATTATGACACAGACACCACAGAAAGAAATAACATCTGAGCCTTTCAGTTGGGATGTTCTACATGAAGAGGGGGTCAAGTTCCTGCCTGAGTGTGAGAAAAATCTTACACAAGCAACCTGTAAAACAGTCAGACAGTGGCCCATCTGCCTTTATTAACCTTGTCTGTGTCTTCCCATGTCCCTTCTTTATACTGGCACGGGGCCCAGAAAGCAGAAGCTTAATGCGATCAAGCCTAATGTGATGATTTCAACCAGAAGCAGCCCAGCCAGTTATGTTAATGGGGAGAGGCAAGGTGTTAGATAGAGGATAGGTTGCGGGTGTTGTTTGTTTTGTTTGACTAACACCTCCCACATAGGGCTGCTGCAGCCAGGCAGACGCTGGAGGTGCCAGGCCCCTTGGCAGAGATAAGGAAGGCCGCTCCATGCCCACACAAACACACTCTTACCTGCACACACAGTTTAAGCAGAATATTTGCAAATCAGCGCATGACATTTAATACTTTGGTCTTTTGTTTAGTTAAAATAGAGTAGTGATGCCCACACTGTGTCTCAGCAATAAAGATGGTCTTCCATTGAGAATGAAAATTGTAAAGATCATCTTCCATCAACTTCCAGTCAGCACTTTCTGGAGAGCAATAAGGTATTTTGTACATAACCACCAATCTTCATTTCTTTACCCCACTTTCTCTCTTTTTACTTAGTCAGAAGCACCCAGTGCCACCTCATCCCGAGTCCTGTTGCTGCACTATAGATTACCTCATATGTGTGGCCATTAGCTCCTCAGGGGGTTCAGCACTTTACAGCCAATCACCACCACAAATTGAATTTCTCTGGGAGGCATTTTCACACATTAAAACAGTGTCGTGCTGCTCTCTCTCCTCTGCCTTTTTTAGTTTTGTTTCTGTCTGTCAGTCTGTCTGTTCATGTCTATTTAGGCAGCATCACTGGTTTCTTCTGCTGTACTTTATAACCTGATCCGTCATGAGGAGCGGTCGTCAGATGTGCTTTGCCTTTGCATCTGTGATGCAACAACCAGTTCTGACTGGAATAGTTCTCGTTGATTACGGTTGAGCCAAGGATTCAGAGAGAGGCATTCATACTTTATTTTTACATCAAACCTCCACATCTGTTGCAGTGTTAGTCAGAGATGCTGCAGTCAGACTACATGCTGAAGTGACGTAGAACTGATATGTTCACAGATGCATGAACAAACTAAATCTTTTTTTTTTTTCAGATCAGATCTGGGCCACTGTGCTCCTAGATCTGATTCATATCCAATCTCTGACCATGTGACCTCTGCCAGAACTGTCAGATCAACATGTGGGGTTTTTTTCAAGGTCTTACTCCTCTGCGCATATGGCCTGTTGTTTGTGTCAGATTTAACTGACCAGTAAAAATAAAAATGGAGGAGAGCAACAACAGCAACAGGGGTCAGTGGAGAGATCGGGATGTTTCACATTTGTTGGACATTTAGGGAGAGGTTTCTGATGATACCAAGGTGGAGGGAACATGCCATACCTGAGCAACTGGTGAGGAAATTGTGAAATTTGACCTTCACAAAAATTACATTTTTGTTGTTATTCTTGTGTGCTTGTGGCTCACATTCATGAATCAGTGTGTCTGTGGCAGTTTAGTAGTGCAACAGTGTTCAGAACATAGCCTATACGAGTCACTTACAAGCATGAATGTCAACCAGGATCAGAAAAAAGGCTGGATCTGGCAATTAGTCTTCACTTGTTTTGTTCTTGCAAGTTCAGGACTCTGAAGAACAAAACAAATGGGCCCCTATCACACAGCTTCTGGATGAACGTCAAAACAGTTTGAGTGTAAAATTTTACTATAATTTACTAAAATATAAGGTGTGGGTCTGGCCAAGTCTCCAACAAAGACTGTGGCGACACACATTTAGTATTAATGCTTTGCAATCATAACTTTACACTAGGAAACCAGATGATGTTCTATTTATTTCCTTTGTTTGAATTATTCATTTTTGAATAATTGAAATGTGCATTTTGACCTTGCATGTTCTGATGCAAAATTATTCACAGTGAGGGCTATATTACGATATCATCTGACCCATCTAGAGCACAATAATTGTATAATATTAAAGCACAATACCAGTCATTGCTTTAAGCTTGAAAATCACCATTTCAGATGACAGTTTGGTTAGCCTACTTTATTTCCAGAATATGGTGCAGCTGCATTAAGCAATAATCTTTATTTGTTCAATTTCCACGGGCAAGGTAAATTTCACAGCTGCTCCAGTGCTGGCAGCCAGGTAGGCAAACGGTGGTGGTGTAAGAAGTTGGCATCGTCTGTGCTCTGGCCAAGACACCGCTGGCACCTGTAACCGACAACAGTCCTCAAAGGGGAAGAGAGATGCAGGTGGAGGGAGACAGAGATAAGGAAAAGTGATGAGGGAAGAGGACAAGAGGATGACAGGCAGGAAGTAAAAGAGACAGAAAGATGTTTGATAAAAAAAAAATAAAATGACAAAAAAAAACAAGGTAGAGAGTAGGCTGTAGAACTATGTTTCTGCATGTCAAATAACAGCTGTACCTGCACAGTTAGCTGTCGCCACATCTAATACTAAAGACAAGACCACTGACCTTCACCTCTTTTTCTTGTTGGAATGATTAATCATATTATTGCAAAAGAATGAACTGTAATTCTCTATATCATTTTGCTGTCCTTTCACAAGGCAGTGTAATGAGCTAGATAATGGAGTCTAATGTGAAGTAGAGTCTTGTGCGTGTGAATGTTTCATGAGTGTACATTCTC